ATCACTCTAAGCTAGGCTACTTCGTCCTCGATAACGCATCCTCAAACGATCAAGCTGTCGCCAAACTCAGCGAGTTATACGACTTCGAAGCTCCTTATCGCCGCCTCCGCTGCGCACCTCACACGCTCAACCTTGTAGGCCAGACAATCATGTTTGGACTTGACAAGGAGGCGTATAACAACGACATTGTTAACGAACATGATACAGAGGCGCGATACCTGCGAGACTGGCGAAGAGACGGTCCGCTAGGAGTACTAATCGATATCATCAACTACATCAAAACGCCTTAGCAACATGATTTGTTCGCATCGCTTCAGCGCTCAGTCAACGATCAATCGCACACAAAAACAATACTAGAGCCGATCAAGCCTGTTGTTACGCGATGGAACAGCTATCACGACGCCTTTGAGCGCGCAGTTCAGTTGTCAGAAACCTTCAACCTATACGCCAACACTTATATTGATCGCACCGCGCGCGACGACGCATTTGCGCACTCGCGCGATAACAAGCTACCTGACGCGCCCTCTTGGATGCGATCTGGCGGGCTAAAAGCAGTAGATTGGGCGGTGATAACTGAGTATATCGATGTGTTGAAGCCGCTCAAGGAGGCTACAAAACGCCTTGAGGCGCGCGGTAAACAAGGAAGCTTTGGAGCTATATACGAGGTTATCCCAGTATTCGAATACGTACTTGGAGCTTACGAGGCGATACTCAGGACCTACGATCACGTCGACTTCAACGCTCATCCTGAGGCTCCAGAAGATCACCTCGCGATCAACCTCAAAGCTGCCTGGCGCAAGGCCACCGCTTACTATACCAAACTCGATGCCTCGCCCGCCTACTATAGCGCAACTTGCCTCCACCCATACTACAAGAACTACTGCTCAAACAGCTGGCGCGAGAAGCCTCACTGGATTGTCTCAAACGAGGCAGAGTTGCAGCAACTGTGGGCGCGACATAAGCCTATATCGCTGCCAGTTACGCGCCTGAGGCCGCCGTGATCAGGCGGTATTGACGACGCAATCGCTGCGCTTGTCAACTTTGAGCCTGCAAACGAGGTGGATATATCAAAGATAGACGAGCTTAATTGCTGGCGGCGATATAAGCCAGCGTGGACAAAAGAGCAGTTTAAGCAGGAGGGTAATCCAGTCAAGTATTAGATCAGCCTGCGATCGCGATATCCAAATTTATCGCGATTGGCAATCGATCTGCTCACTATACCAGCTAGTAGCTGTCAATGCGAGCGCCTGTTCAGCAAGCTTGGCGACCTATTAGAGCCCCGCAGGCGGAAGATCGGATCTCAACTGCTAGCGGCTATCCAATGTACCCAGAGTTGGAGAAAAGCAGGCTTCAAGCCTCCTTATAGCCAGGAGGATAGCCTTACTAATCAGGAGGTAATCAGAATCTACGATATATGCGAGTGGGAGAATGATAACTAGAGGCAGCCATATAAGATCGCCCTAGATTGCATATCAAACATGATCAAGAGCATCAAAACTTCAATCAATTACGACTCTAAAACAGCTTCAATCAAATCAATTTCAATCGCGACCTCATGAAACTTCAATCAAGCTCAATCGGCGGCCTCAAATTGATTGACTTGATTGTTTGTATCTCTGCTAATGAGGCTGTTCGAAGTTGGCTGAAGTGAGGGGTGAGAGACACAAAAGCGCAACGTGCGTCAATGGGTAGCAGAATGGGGGCGAGAAAGAGGGGGTCGAGGTTAGAAGTAGCTAGTGTAAGAGAAGACTCGAACCAATAACGCGGTGACAATCTCCCATTTTGTACACGTCTGGAACTGCTGCCCGTGCTGCCGCAATGCGAAAGACCGTCGGATCATTGGCGATGTGCTTGGAAAGGCCTGTCAACATGCGTCGTTAGCTCCTACACTCATAGCTAAGGCTGACAGCAGACAGGCGGACTTACTGAGTGGCAAAGTTTGCGCGGCTGTCGAAGCCTCCAAGTAGGGCACCTTGTGGTAATATGCCCTCTGATTCCTCTTCTTACCACTGCTCAAGGAGTTGGCACACTCGATAGTCCGTGGCCCAATGAAAGGAATCCCATAGAACTCGATGCTTAGTGTTTGTGAGGAATAGAGATGGGTTTTTATACTCAAGTGCTGTGTTTACGTGTGTGTACCTCGGTAGCTATCACCAGCCTTCTACTCACAATTCGAAAGCATGCATTAGCAATGCGACATCAGTTAACGATTACCTCATTTGGCACAGCTAGAAGCTGGAATTATTGGCCTGTTCAAGAACCGATGTTAGGTCTTACGGTAAAGGTTGCGAGACACCAATCACACGCGGACCTGATAAATTAAGCATCAGCATAGGCATTCATTACTCATGCCCCCGTGCTGTATAGGGCGCACGGGAGGAAACATGGTATGCCTAGACATAGTCCGCGGGTAAGCTGTACGGGATCAGTAAGCCGGCCCGCCCCACAAAACCTGACGCGATGCGACGCGCGACGCAGTAAGGGAACCTCATCTGTTTTCCGTACCCTCGTATCACCAAAAGCGACCCGTGGGCAAGATATTCCCGCGTACGAATATGTGACTTCCGCGAGACCTTCACTGTATGCTTCGCTCGACTTGGACAAGCATCCGCTAGCTTGGTGGTGTATCCCTTAACGTGTTGGATCAGTAAGCTGGGCACCCCACCAAACTTGACGCGACGCTCTGCACAATAACCACGATGCCGCGACAACAACGTCCTAAATTACCTTCTCGTGAAGGCAGAATAAGCCTCGCTATAGCATCCTATCGTAATAATCTAGAACAGTCTATCTGCGCCCTCGCAAAAGCTTTTGATGTACCACAATCTACACTATACACGCGCATCCGCGGTACCTAGCCACGATTAGAGATTGTCTCTGTTAACCGCAAGCTATCGACTACTGAAGAGCATTCCCTCGTCTAGTGGATCCTAGACCTTGATCGACGTGGTATTCCACCCTACATTATCGATGTACGACGGATGGCAGACGCTCTACTCGCAGCCCGTGGCCAAGATCCACCTCCACAACCTATTGGCAAGAAATGGGTGTCACGCTTTATCTAGAGCCATTCTGAGCTCTAGACAAAGTGGACTAGGAAGTTTAATAGCCAGCGCACCTACTGCGAAGATCCTGTTGCGATCGCAGCGTGGTTTAAGCTAGTAGAGGAGACGCGCTAGACGTACGGCATCCTAGACTAAGACATCTACAACTTTGATGAGACTGGTTTCAAGATGGGCGTCGCTGCAACGTCAAAAGTCGTGACTAGCCCTGATAGAGTTGGTAGAGCAGTCGTTGTACAGCTAGGTAATCGCGAGTGGGTAACAGCGATCGAGTGTATCAACGCGTCTGGCTGGTCTCTGCCACCACTCGTGATCCTGTCTGGTAAGGTCCACTAGAGCAGCTGGTATCACAACCTCCCACAAGACTGGACTGTTGGCGTCTCAGATAGCGGCTGGACGACGAATGAGCTTGGCCTAGAGTGGGCGAAGCATTTCAACCACTGTACAGCGTCTCGTACAGCTGGAGTCTATCGTCTTCTTATCCTAGACATAGACTTCCTTACAGTCTATACACGGATCCGGCCGATAGTATTCACGCAGCAGAACATCCAGGCAGGCTTTCGGGCGACAGGGCTTGTCCCCCCTTGTCCCGACCTAGGCTGGTAAATGGGTTGGGGTTGGGTTGGGTCTGGGTTGGGGTTGGGTTACCTAGATAAGTAATAACTAAGCTTGATAGGTAAAGGCTAGTTCTAACTTAGCCTAGTTATTACCTATCTAGGTAACCCAACCCCAACCCATTTACCAGCCTATCCCGACCGCGTCCTATCGTCACTTACTGTCGTCCAGACGCTGTCTCTACTAGCGACATCAGCAGACAACAACGTCGCATTGACAGCAGAGACGCCACATACAGTAGCACAGCTTTAACAGCACGTACAATACCTCCAGAACAGACTCCATCGGCAATTAGAGAGCCTAATAAGCGTTGCTATCTGCCAGCTTGCTAAAAGCGCGTAGCTTGCAATGCAATCAGCAACGATACTTGCTGAAGAGAATAGGAAGCTACGTGCAGCCAGTCGGCGTCAACAACAAAGGCAGAATTAGCAGCGTCAATATATAGGCTCTGGTGGAGTACTCCGGGTCCAACAGGCTCTGCAGATGGCTGCAGATGCAGAGGGAGTGGCCACAGAGGCTAGCCAGGGCCAGGCTGGTGAGAGACGTCAACGCGCGACGCCAACGTGTACGAAGTGTCACGTTCAAGGACATACTCGGACTTTATGCAGAACTAGATGGTGAATTATATTTCTATATTTTATCTAATTTGTTACGTTGTTGTGGATCTATTGTGCAGAGCGTCGCGTCAAGTTTGGTGGGGTGCCCAGCTTACTGATCTGCCCAGCTTACTGGTCCAACACGTTACACAGTTTCAGGGTATCAGCGCTAAGCCTATTGTTCTAGCTGTGGCGAAGGTCAGTGCCCCATGCCAAGGGTTTGCCGGCGTTCGTATCATCTCAAGCACCATTGTCATTATCACATCCACATATCTTAGCAGTGCAAGTTTCTCGTGCCCTTCTAGGAAGTAGCATTCACTAACTAGTCGTAGTAATGCAACCGACGACGGTTCCCGTACTTTGCACGCTCGTACGTCGACGCCTCCGCACACGACCGCTGACCGCGCGAGCATCATCTGCACAACGCGCCTACTTCCCGATCCTTACATCTCTGTCATATATAAGGGAATACTCTGGCGGAAGTTAGCTACAACTTGGGATCTTTATGGGCTCAGCCAGCAATACGCCAGGGTGCTGTATAACCCTCGAGCAAGGCGGCAACAACGCGATGGGCGACAGTCCCACACCAAAAAGGGTTGTGCTCCGATTCAAAGTCAGATACGAGCTTGAGGAACGCGCAATCAACGAGAGTTACTTTACTCGAATTAGCGACGAGCCGAAAAATGACTACTACTCTCATTTAATGGCCGCTAATAACTCCTCTAAAATGCATATTGTCCTTGATCTGCACTGTAACACGAACCCAACCATCGACAATTGTAAGATTCCATACGAAGTATATTCAGTTTCGAAAAAGGACAGTAAATTGTATGTGACCCTATAACTAAATGTGAGCTGACTAATTAAGCAATAAAGCGAATTCGAACAACTTGATAGCAAAGCATGCGACCTTGCTCGCGAGCGCTGCAAAAGGGTTGGTTGGGGTACTGACCGAACTCAATCTGATGAATTGGACGGCGTCCTTGCATCGCATGTGGGGCATGTGCCTTCTACATCCGTATCTTGAACGTCAAGAGACAAAGGCAAGTCTCTCAACTGTAAACTTGGAGGCACGCATGGCTCTTGATTTGGACGACGTCGTGCTGTGCCGCACCGAAGAAACTCCCCTCTTACTTGATGTTGAGGATTTCGGCGACAGTCGCGATATGTCGTTACTCTAATATGACACATATTAGATGTAAAAATGATCAGTGAATCAAGATCTGTAAATTTATGTTTTCGCGATATGGTATGATAACGGTGGCTACGGGTGCGAGTTTACTAGGGGTGGAAAGGATGACTTGCCAGCGTTACAGACATGTGCGGGGCGCTGCCAGACGCACGTGGGCCTGGACAGACACGAGGCTACGTGGTTGGCAGTACAAATGCTAACTGCACGTCGACGCCGATTGCACAAAACTGACATGATTACTTTCATCGCAAGCAAGAGTGATTCTCATAACTAACATAGTCGCTGCTATCGTAGTCCTATCACGTGCGTGCTGTAGCTTAATGTTTTAGACCTTTCTACGAACCAGTCGACTTCTATTTTTAGTGTAAGCCTTTTGTTGGCCAACTCAGTGCGGCAGCGCGGTAACAAGACAGTCGCTCAGGCAGTTCGACCTGTCGATTCTGAGATCTTGTAGAAGCCCATACACGTCAGCTAACATGGATAGAGCCAGCCAGGCGTTAGCGAAAGGTGTGCGTGAAGGCGTACGTCGATCATACCGCACCCTCGTAGACCACAGTGGTGTCTCTCACTCCACTCTTCAACATCGTCAAGCGGGTTGACGATCGACTGATGAGAAAGCTCAGAGCCAACCTTATCTCTGGCCACCCGAAGCGAAAGCCGTAAACGAGTTCTGTCTACGAATATCTGATCTTGGACAACCCATTCGGATGAAGCACATACCTTTCATAGCCTTCAGGGCGACGCGCCATCGGCCTCTAGAAAGTCGACCGTCCAAGCCACCAGGCAAGAACTGACTGAAAGCCTTTGAGAAGCGCTATCCAGATTTACAAGCGAAGAGGGAGAAGGCCCTAGACTGGAACTGTCACAGGAAAAACACGGACGAGAAGATGAGACACTGGTTTGACGTAATCGGCAAGGTGCTGCGAGACCCGACCGTCCGGGCAGGAAATGTATACAACATGGACGAGACCGGAATCATGCTGTCTATGCCCGGTTCAGTCAAAGTGCTCGTAGGTAAGAATGACGTGCAGGGTTGTAGAGGCGCTCGTGTTAAGCGGACCACTGTCACCGCCATAGAGTGTATTAGCACCGACGGTAGGTATCTAAAACCTATGATCATATGGCGAGCCACCACTCACAGAAGCAATTGGACCGCATTCGAGATCCCTGGGTGGCAGTATACGTGCAACGAATCCGGGCATACTGATTCCAAGATTAGCTTGGAATGGTTGAAATGTAATTTCGACCTCTAAACTAAGGACTGAGCAAACGGTAAACCACGAGTGCTGATTTGCGACAGATTCGGAAATGAGGAAACTCTGGAAGTTCTGGAGTTCTGCTTCGAGAATAACATCCTACTGTGCCGTCTCCTTTTTCACATATCACATCAGCTACAGCCCTGTGACGTGGCAGTGTTTAGCCCGCTGGAAGGGGCCTATTGTGAACAGGTTGACCGACTGGAGCGGGGAGGTGTAAACACAATCGGCAAGGAACATTTTATCTCTCTATACAGCCCTGCGAGGATCAAAGCTTTTACCCCAAGAAATATCAAGGCCAGGTCCGCTGCATGTGATCTGGTACCATTCAATCCGGGGAAAGTACTGAGAAGCATGCCGATGCCCCCGGCAGCACTGACCATCGCCACATCGGACCTAGTCCCATCATGTCCGCAAGACTCAGCGCTCCATACGCCTGTTACGCCTCTTATACCCACAACGCCAAGAATGGCAGAGACTCTTGTGTCACGGTAGAACCAGATCATAACACAGTATGCTTATGCACTCGACGAAGCAAGTAAACGACGCCTACACAAGCACTTAGGCAAATTCGTGAATGCAGTCCAGATCTGCCTTGTGAAGGGTTCCCTACAGCAAGACCGTATCCAGTTGTTGATGAAATCATCGACAAAGCCAAAACCTGGCGGTCGACGAAATCGGATATATTGGCAAAGGGTGATGGGCTGATCGAATCCTATGAGCACCTTGTGGCGAAACGAGCTGCACGCGCTGCGTATGAACAATCTAAAGCTTTAGGGAAGAGGAAACGTGGGCGGAAGTGTAAGAGTCCTGTAGAGGTAGATATTGACGAGCCATCGACAAAGATTGCGCGGACGAGTGAATCATAGAGAGCCCCAGTGGCGCGGATGTAGTAGCAACTAGACTCAATCTGCCAATCAATTTGGTCCAGTCTGCCCGAAAACACCAACAATCAATTCAATCGACGACTCCACTATTGATAGGATTGATTGTTACGGAGTCTACGGAAATCCCCGAGTTACTCGCACTGGCGAGGCTGCCAGGGCACCGCCATGGATTTCAACCGCACTGAAGCAAAGAGAAGCCAGGGTATCAAAGCAGATGTGTGCGGCTACTAAGCACGCCGAGAAAGTTGCAGCAGGGGCGGGTCCACAAGCTGAACAAGCTCTTGACAATCTTGTGAAAGATGCAAAGCCGCCGTCGCGACCCTAGCAGAGGCGCACCGAACATCAACTTTTCCAAGTCACCAAAAGGACGATATCTATCGATTCTTCATGCAACTACAGTAACGTCCTTTCTGTTGCTGCTGCGGCGAATCGACTTGAAAGGGCTACTTTAGCCCCCAAAACTTTGAGGGTCAACATATGCGACAGTTATTAGTGGTGTTGGAGTACCTGGACGCTGAAGCCAGTAGCATTGCCCCACGACCCCGCCGTCCGAAGGCGACTCCACCAGAGCATAATCTGACGCCAGGACCGCCCTTGCCATTACAATGTTTGCTTTATGGGACGTTGCACAGAGACTGTCAAGGCGCATAGGTTCTGGCGCACTACTACTGCTGGTTTTATCGCAGTCTGACCTAATTTCACGATGTGACCGTGTGAGGGTTTGACGCGCGACTTCACATTGGCGCTGCAGAGAATGCGACACCCACAGTGCGCAATGCCCGAGCTCACAAAGTGCCTAGTGGTATTGTAATACCCGAGGCACAGCCAGGTATGAGCGAGGTGTACTGTAAATGCAGTTCGTCGATTCCTTCCATGCTTGACCTGCAGCGTTCCGATCGTGCAATGACAGGCAGTGCGAGGGTGGTGACGCTTACCTAGTCAAACTACATGGTCAGCGCGTGTTCACTGTGGCACGCCCTGCACCTGGTGCTGGCGGTCGTCGCATGTGGCGCATCATAGCGATTACATTGCCCGTTGACAGCATGTCGAGTATGGTCCTCTCAACACTACGTTGATGGACGCCAGCATTTCGTCTACATGGCTAACCTGTCAACGCAGGCAACCTTAGGCGTAATTGGTAATGACTGGTGGATTCCATGCTCCATGATGCATTTCGCGGCTAGTATACGATTTGTCCCGCGCGGCCCTGCCAGTTCTCGTTCACATGTAAGACTGTGATGTTGCTGCTCATTGTCATTGTTGGAGTTGTCGTTCGGAACGTAGACACCCAGAGTCGCACGAACCGTTCGGCTCGCTGCGGGGTCAGCGAGGCGAATCTCGGTATATCAAGATGCGTGATAAGCAGAGACTACTTGGAGGGAACAGCGCTGCCACAGCCATGGCTTCGAAAACAATTGCTCACCTCCATAAATACGGTCAGCAGTATTACCGTCGTACCTATCTCTGATCTCCGTACGCAGCCATGTCAGCAATGGGAAACGTGTCGAGGTCAGCTTCCATCGTCGTTATGCTAGCAGCTAGCATTATGCTATTCTCCTGCTTATCACCGAGGACATACATCA